TGACAGCCTGGTAGGCAGGAAAGCTATGCTGTCTGCAATGTAAAGATCCAGGCTGGTAAAAGCACCATCTTTAGGGAGCAGCCCTCATCAGTACTGGTCAACCATACTGTGGCCAGGGGACAACTAGGTTCTCACTACCCATTAAATTACTTTACTAGGTACTTGGAGAGCAATCATGGCTTTGGTGTTGGAATATTTCACCTGTGTCTTGTAGAGCGCCAGGCCAGCACTTAGACATCTGTTTGTGACAACAGAAAGATCTTTACATTTTTTTAGGTCAAGCAGAAGAGAACTTCCACCTTTTGTTTTATAACCTCAACAAACACCTTTACATTCAGAAAAAAACCCCAACAATTCATTTCACTTCTTTTTCCTAATGGAAAACAGCACTCTTCCCACAGCTGCAGCCATGGCTGTACATGACCCACAACATGATCTTCAATCCACCACCAATCAGCTAAGACAAAAACCAAGAAAACCCTATGGAATGAAAGATGTTTGCAATCACCAATGGCATATAATGTTTGTAATAAAAAGTAAAACTGATCTTCAGTCCTGAAGAAAGTAAATGTACATGTATTTAATCACAGTGATAGAAAAAGGTGAATTTGCTATGGAAAATAAATTTCCAGGTGGACATGATACAAGCAAGAGAGGGAAAGTAAGCAGATAGATAATAATCTTGGTGTCAAATATAGGCCTCTGAGCCTATACTAACATTCACTGACATACAGTATGAGCTATGTCACATGTTTCAGTGTTTGATAGAGCAGAGAGCAGTTACATTCCCAGCCTGCCCAAGATAAGCTGTCTTTCTAGCAAGGACACTAGAAATAAAATGCTGTAGAGCAGCCTGTGGGATTCAGACCAGCAAGATGAGTTCTGACCTGAACTTGAAAAAGAGACGTTTATTTAGGGCACTGTGCTTGTAAGAACTACACAATAGCTTCAAAACTTTGATTAAGAAAACAAAGTAAATCAACGTAGACTGCTGAGAAGAAATGTTGATTAGGGACATTGTTTACAGGACCACAAAAAGATGAATAGCTGCTAATAAATGTTGGGACTTTGCTCAAAGGCATCTGGGGAATTTATGAAGATGATAAGGACTGGCTTAAGATAGAATAACATGGTTTAATATAACAAAGACTGGTAAACCAGATGATCAACCTTTCCCATAATATCCAGGGGATCTGTTGTTCTAAGCAACACCATTTAATGACACTACTGTTAATAATATGGAGAAACTAAATAGACAGGGCTATTTAGTTTGGAGATAGGGAAAAATGGTTACTGTGTAAGTGCATCTAATAGTAACAAGTATCATGTTCATTGAAGGAGTCACTAAGTTCTAGTTTTCACATAGTCTGATTGAAACAATATGATATAATTTTAAAAAAAGAATTTGTTGAAATTCTCTGCCAAAGGCTCTCGAGAGAAACTAAGGTGATACAGTATTAACAGGTATATTATTTGATATATTAATAAATTTTTAATTATTAGTTATTAATACTACATTATTAAAAGATATTAAATGAAGGACAAGAAAAATGGTCTATTTTTTTCACCGTAGAGGGAGGTCAGTGGTAGAGTACCACAGGGACCTGTGCTGTTCAGCATATTCTTAAATGATCTGGAAAAAAGAGTGATTATTGAGGCAACCAAGTTTGCTGATGATGCTGAATTATTCATGGTAATAAAAACAAAAGCTGACCGTGAAGAATTGTGGAAAGCTCTCATGATACTGTGTGACTGAATGATGAAATGGCAAGTTGAATTCTGTGCTGAAAAATGGAAGTAATATTCGAGGGAGAAAAAAAGCCAAAATATATATGCAAAGTCCTAGAATCTAAATGAATGGCTTCCACACAGCAAAGAGTGCTTGAGTTGTAGGGGGTGTGAAAACAGCAGCTCATGGCTGTGTAGCATTCAAACATGCAAATGAGATTGGTATTATCAGAAAAGAAAAAGAATATAAAACCAGAAAGCACTTATTATGCACCTATATAAAGCCACTGGATTTGTAACTTGAATAATGATGACCATTATGGTCTTCTAGAACAGAATTAGGAAAGGTATATAAAAAGGCAAAACAAATTACTGAAAACATGGAATGACTTCTAATAGGGAAGACATTAAATTTACTAGGACTTTGTAAATAGAACTGAAGAAAATATGACGAAGCTATATGTATTCATGAATGGCATGTTTAGTGAACGGGGAAAGTCATATATTTTTTAAAAGAAAAGAACTAGTGGACATCAAAGGAAATTATTAGGCAGTGGGCCTGACACAAACAAAAGAAAATATTTTTCACACAGAGATTTCCAAAATTGCATCATTTGTTGCCCTAGAATGCTGCAGGTGTCAAAAAGTACTCAGGCACATCCTTGGACAAGATATTCTTTGAGAATGTGGATGCTGGGTTTTTTCCCCAGTAGCTCCAGAGATTCAATTTGAGACAACATACAGCAGAAAATATCTTTGTGTGCTTTCTTGTTCCTAAAATCTTTCACTAAGCATTCATCAATAACTACTCATAATGCTACTGAACTACACAGATATTAGCTGTTCTTGAAATAAAAAGGCAACAACCAATCAAAGTGAAACATCTAAGTGTATCAATCAAAGGAAACTATTTTGGAAAACAAAATATTATCGCAGCAGTAAGATTACTAGGATTTCAAGAGAAAACTTTTGGAACTTTTGTATAGCCTATAGAAGTATCTACACTTAAACTTTTGTTAGAATAAAATGGATTGAGGATTTAAGCCCTGGTGTTTTGTAATGCAACAACTGAATGTGGAGGGTTTTGCTTGAGGTGTTTTACTGAATGATTGTCTCATTGGACATTTCAGCTGCTTTTTGAAATATCTGATGCAGGACTTCAGCAGAAAGTTGACAGGTCATAAGGACAAGGGGGTGTTTTTTCGCAGCAATTTTTTTCTGACCTTCTAAAACATTAGAAAAACAAAGCAAAGACATACTCTAGCAACAGAGAAAACAGATGACCAAGTCTTTATTTGTGCTATCACAATGTCCCAAATATGGCAGACATTTCACCAGGCAACCAAAAGCATACTAAAAATGATCTAATAGTATAAAAAGGCAAAGCTACTTGAAGAGGAAAGTGGAATACCACATTGCACAAACACTCTGAGCAAGAGAGTGTCATGGTATTTTATTAGTAACACACTGAATGTTGGTATCTTTTTTTTCCCTTCTAAAATTAAATGCTCTAGATTAGGGTTAAGGTTAAGGTAAAATCCTGATTGATTAATTATTACTTTATTGATGGTTTGGGGGGGGGAGGGGCAGAGTTTTTCTCTATAACTCAAATTTGCAAACTCAGTTCCAGTGTCTTTTCTGCTATAAACACTCAACAGGAGCTCCTAGTCTCCCTTATAGGGAAGAGCATCTAACTCAGAGGATAAACTGAATGAGAATTAGCTCACTTAATTAGATAAATTCTGCTAGGTGTCATGAGAGAAGAAGAAAACAGGAATGTTACAGAAGAGAAGATATGGTTTGAAGATGGCATTACTATAAAGGCAATGGAGGTAAGCAAGTCAGGCAGTGAGACAGAGAAGTCAAATGGAAAGACACCTTTTCTGTTAATTACTAAGAAGTAGAAGGATTAGTACTTTTACAAATATAAAACTGAGCTATTTTCCATCTAGTAAACTGATTGCTGCAGAGAACCAGAGTGACTTTTCTAGAACAGAACAAAAAGTCACAGAGTAAAATAAGAATTTGTATGTACTCCTAATTGTTAAGTCAGTTATTAAGCTATTCATGAGGTCACTGTAGAGAAGAAGGATACAGGAGTATTAAAGCATACTGAAAAATTTCTAGTTATGGAGGTATGCATAGTTTTTTGGTTCCTAAATTCTTTATAAGCTTCATTGTAATAGTTTCAGTGACAGACTCCAAGGGACTTAAAGTAACCTGAAAAAAATAAAGTGCAATCAAGTAAGGGACTACTTCCTCAAAACATAGTTTTGAAAATATAAAAATAACAGGAGACGTTTTGAATACTTTTTAGTATTCTTCTGTGTTTGGGATCTTTTAGGAACATTTGGATCACATTTTCAAATTTTCTTTCATAGGTATAAAACCTTTAGTTCGACTTTTTGTTTGAATGCAATCCAGGACTGTCTCACACACAGCTCTTTCTAGAAACCCTGTATCAAACATTTTGAGATTTGTGATCAAACATTTTGAGATTTGTGATGAAACATTGAGACCTGCCAAAAAATAAGGGGGAGAAATAATGTATTTCCTAATGGCCAGGCAGAGCAAATAGTTTGTACCCTGACGTGATAGTTTACAGAAAACCACAGCGACACGGATTTCTGTGAGGAAACAACCCAGCTCACTGCAATGGTTGATTTGTACGTTCATCTTAATTATTTTTTAAATACTATTAGTGATCAACCATATACTCAACACGTTGTTTCCCTGTCAGTGACTGCGCAGCCGAGGGCACCGAGCGATGGGGACAGGGCTCCCTGTAGGGGGACGGGGTGCACGGGGCTGCCCGGGCCATCTGAACGTTTTCCCTGAGGACACGGGACCAGATCCCGGCGCTGGGAAACGCTGGCAACAAGCGCGGGAACTCTCTCCACGCAACAAGTTGGGTCCGGCGGCTCAGCCACGGCCCCGGGCGGGGCGGCCGGGAACGGCCATGGCCTGGGGAACGCCTGTCCCGCCCCGGCGCCCCGCTTCGGGACTGCGGAGTGGGGGGACACACGACAGCGCCCGGGCCGCTGGGGGCGGCGGGGGTGGACCCGCCCCTCGGGACCCGGGTGCAGGACCCGGGACGCGCGTGACGGACCTGGGATGCGGGTGCTGGACCCGCCATGTGTGTGAGGGACTCCCCCGCCCCGTTCCCGCCCCGGGCGGGGCAGGCTCGCACCGCCTCACGAGCCGGCTCGGGCCGGGCAGCTGAGGGCAAAAGCTTCACCGCTGCGCAAGGCGCATGCGCGAGCGGCCGGCGCGTGCGCGGTAGCGGCGGCGGACGCGGAGCGGAGCCCGGCACTCGGCAACGCTCGGCGGTTCCCGTGCAGGCCAGGCCGCCATTTTCTCGCAGCCTCCCCGTGCGCGGCTTCTGTCCCGCTGCCCGCGCTCTGCCCTGCTCGGCGATGGACGGGTGAGTGGGGGCCGGGGCGTTCGGACCGAGGGGCCGCCGCGCTGCTGCTGCCGGTCGGTGCTGGGACCTGTCCCGGTGCCTCGCTGGCTGACGGCGGGCGTCTCCGAGGGGGTGGGGAGCGGCGAGCTGCCCGCCGCGGGACGGCTGGAGCCTGAGATCCCCGTGCAGGCTGGGAGCGGGGCAAGACGGGGCTCAGCATCTCCGTAACCCCCCAGTAGGATCCCCCGCTCGAGTCGCCGACGGATTTGGGCCCCCCCCTGCTCAGTGCAGTGCTCGATACGGCGCGTCTCGACGTGAAGAGGCAGCGCGATCTACCCCCATCGGCCCCCCAGAGCCTCTCGCTCCCTCTTGCTCTCCCGCCTAAGCCGTGTCTCCCCTCGGGTGGGGGTGAGGAGGGGCACGCTGCGGGGCTCGGGTTTGTTTTGGAGCTGGCTGGAGGGGAGGAGCGATACCAGCGGGAGCCAGATGTCGAGCTCTTTTGTTTTCAGAAACTGCCTAATAAGCCCTTTGGTTTACCCCCTCCTCAGGTAGAAAGATGTCTTTGTATACGCTGTGCACTGGCTGTAAGAGCCAAAGAAGGGAAGGTTGGAAGGAGTCGACCATGCGGGACAGCGAGGGCTGGGGTGGGCAGGCACCACACACAAGGCCTGCTTTTTGTTGGATATGGAAAATGGGGCTGCTAGTTGTAGCCCTCGTTAGTGTAAACACAACAGCTTCCAGCTCCCGCATTTCTTATTAAGTTGTTTACTCTATTTCAAACAGAGAACCCATCTCTTTGGTATGCTTATAGCATATAACCTTTCAACTGTGAGAGTTCTAAAGGCTTTTTATGGTTAGTTGTAGTTATAATGTTAGGTTTTACAAATCCTGTCTGAGAAGTCTTGTCACTAATGAGTACTACATGGTGGAATGCTCTTACATATTCGTGTTTTTTTTTTTCTTGGTGTGGACTTACATTTCTGTTGGGTTTGTGTTACACACTGAGTGATGATGTCACAACCTCTAAGAAAAAGGTGGACCTTGACATACCTGTTGCAGAGTTTTGTATAGGTGTACCTCATTAAATTTCATATAAGTGTAACTGCCAATGCGTTCCTTTTTTTTTCAAGCTAATTTAAAAAAAAATGTTTTCGTTGCTTTCTGGTTTAAGAAGATCTCTAGGGCAGGCTGTGTTGCTGAATTAGCTGTCTAGTTAGCAGAGATGTTTGAGAAAAGTTCTGTACTTGCTTTCAAATTATTTTATTTCCACCCTATGGTCCATGTGTAGTCCAGAGACCCGAGTTTCCTGAAGAAATTTCCTAACAGTGCTGCACTGCAGTGACGTTTACTTGAAACTTTGTACTCTTTTGGAGAAGCCTGTAATCTGGGGGAGCTCAGTGGCTTTTGTAGGTTTCTTTTGTACTTCCCCTCAGTCCTGCTGTGTTCTTGGAACACAGTTTCTTGATCGGGGAAGTTGTTGGCTATTTGTTTCCTCATTATTTTATCATTGCAATACACTGAAAAGTTGAATTTGAAGATAAATTGGTTAACTTGTGTTCTTGTTTGTTTTTTTTTTTACAGCATTGTCACTGATGTTGCAGTTGGTGTGAAGGTAGGATGTACACTTAACAAATAAGGGGGCAAACTGTTGATACAAAATTAACTACTTTGAGCATCAGTATTGCAAATTGGTAGATTTTAGCTAGTCATTGTGAGCTGATATCCAGTCAGCACTATATGCTTTATTAACCAAAAATCCCCAGGGGTAAATTGGAGACTCTACATAAAAGACCTTTCTAGGCACTGAACTGTAAACAGTGGTTCTAGATTAATGTAGTGGTGTCAGCTTCTTATTTTAAAGTTTAGTTTTGCGTATTTTTTTCAAACAACACTTTCTCATTGTTGCATGATGCCTGTAAAAGTCGTGTTTTCTTCTCTCCCTCCCCCTCCTTATTTAAAAACAGTTACCGCTGAAGTTAAAAAAGAAGTGACTGCCTGTAATAGGACTCAAAAATATGGGAGGTAGAATTTGTTATGTAGACACAGAAGTGGGTGTTTGCTTTGCTTTACTTTTTATTTCTCAAGTTTGGTTATTAACTTATCTTTTTTTTAATAGCAAGGAAAAGGGTTGTTAATTTACTATTTATTTCACTTTTTTATTCAAATCTGTCTCAGGAGTTAGATCTGTACTTCATAGTAGCAGACTAAGAAATAATGAGAAAGCAAAGATATATGGGACAAGGGAACTTTAATGAATGCTTGTGAGCAATTCTTTCAGTGGCAGGAACATAGAAGTTTACTAGTGCATACAGTTAACTCTTCACATGTGGTCAGGGACTTTTTAGCTTGTGCTACTTACCTACCTTTTCACCTGAAGCTGATCTGTGTTAACTGCTTGCTAAGGCAGGCTTTGTCTAGTAAGGCTCAGGTGCTCAGGTTCAGTATCAGTCCTGCTTGATTTGGACTAGTTCCTACATAATACATCCAACCTATAGATACAGCAGCTGTTCTGTCAGATGTACCTGTATTATGTTCCTGAGCAGGCTTGCTTCTAGGAAGAGCTATAAGAAGTCAGTTATATGGATTCTGGACCCATCTGGCTCCATATGTTCATGCAGTGTTGGAGACAGGCTTAAAATCACTCTCTGAGTCGTGAGTGAAGTGTAGTTATTAAAGCACTTCTGTGGGAGCTAATCACAATAGAAATATGAACTGGCATGATTGTTTCCTTGTTGCCTGAGAGGACTGATAAAAGTTTAAGAATGTATTTAGTAGTTTGGAGGAATACCCAAGGAAGTTCCAAGAGTTCCAAGTTTTTCTGAAGTAAACTGATCATTTGCTTTGAGGCAAAAAGAAAATAAATCCATAAATTGCCCTCAGTCCTATCTAGTGAAGAAGCAGTTTCAGGTAAACTATGTATTACTTGAACCTTGGATTCTGACGTTCTCACTTCAGGAGAAGTAAATGGATTCAGTATCCCTTTCATTCTTTACTATGAGCAACTTGAGTGTTTTTGAGAATTTGAGTGTTATGAAATATGTTGCAATTTTGGAACCATACTTTCAGATACTAGCCAGACAGTGAAATGAAGACACTCCAGAGGACGTAACTGCTTCTTTCTGTTGATTATAGAAGTTATATTATGAGATTATAGAAGTTGTATGAGATTATAAGATTATAGAAGTCATATTATGAATATAAGAAAGAAAGCAAGCCGGGTGTATTGAAGGCAGTAATTAAAATAAATACAAGGAAAGGCACAGAAGTGTCAAAAAGTTTTGCTCTTTGCCTTGTAAAAATAGACTTGCTGTTCAGATTTTAAAAGAAAACAGTCTGTGCATGGAAGTAGTGGGAATAAATAAGGATGATGATTTTCTGAAAAAGCTGTTAACTATGGGAGGAGTAAACTGGATTGTATTCTCGAGCTTCTGTAATTATCTCAAGATACTAATAATGGAAAATGGAATTTCTTTCTAATTGATATATACAGTGTGGGTAGCAGTCTTAAAGCCAGCTTCATTTGTGTTTTGTGGAAGGCCATGTGAAACATTTTTTCTTTTTCTTCTCTGGTGACTCTTCACTGCCCTTGATGCACTGAAGTTTTAAAGTTGAGGAATGCCTTACTGTAGGTGTATATAAACAACTGGGATCATTCATCCGGCCTTTATTTGGCTGTTATCCTTTCTTTGGGGTGCTATGGTGTAGACATTAAGTTTTGAATCTAAGGAATTGCATAAGCAGTTTTAATGCAATTCCAACGCTGCTTTTATTGTGACTGGATAGGCATTGGAGATTTCACCTGTGTGAAATCAACTTATCCAGGATATTAGTTTCAACCAATGCTTTCTTTTTCACCTACAGTATATATGCTGGTCAGTTATACAGCATGTTGTGATATACTCAGTTACACTTAGAGAAATGAATTGTGATATAAGACTCTTCTGTTTGGAAAATTTGCTTCATTTTATCATCAGTCATGTCAATACAAATTTGAAAATTTTATTAACTCTTGTCTGTCTGGTTTCTCTCTTAAACAGAAAAGTGAGCATGTTACTTATATTTTTAAACCCATTTGTAAAAGAGTAACAGGAGTTAACTACTGTAGTGTGGGTATTGTTTTTCAATTAAAAGAGGGCTTTTGAGCTTTGAGGACTTCATATGGGCAAGGCAAGTATATAGTAGAAGGAATGCTTGCTTATAATGTTTTATTAAGAGATTTATAGTCTGAGTTACCTGCAAGTGAGGCTGATAAATTTGAAGCTATTGCTTCATTTATTTGTGCTGTGCACTTGATTTAAGACATTTTTCTTCATCTGATGTTCAGTCTTCATTTTATTTACATGTTGAGTCACCAGAAAATGACACCAAAAGCGGATGAAAACATAAAACTCAGGATGGAGATGGAAAAAATGACAAATACTATTTGAAAACTTGGTTTGCATACAGTAAATGTGGGGATTTGTGCAACTCAAAACATGTAATGGGAGCACACTTACAAGCTAAAATCTGTCAGAGGAGCAGTGTGTTTTAATTTCTGAAAGCATTAGAACATGTTAAAACCCAGTCATTTTGTAAATACATATGAAATAACTCTGATTTGGTCTGTAATGTCTTTTTTTGCTTACCTAGAATTCATGGAGGCAAAGAAATGTCACTCTGCACACAGTTCACCCCTTACATTACTATTTACAAAGTAATGCAGTAAGGATGAACTTTAGTTCTGTATCTGTTAGTTTGTGAACTCACATTGTATATAAGCAGTTTGTGTAAAGTGTACTTGAATAGAAGAGAGCTAAGAATTCCAGTAATGGTAGTATATTACATAGTTCAATATTTTCAAAAATTTTCAGTTTCTTGAAGAAGTTCTGTACATGTTATGGATTTCTTCATGCACAGTTTTAAAAATTGCCATGTTATATAGAATGTTTGCTTTTTTGTTTAAAAAAGGTACATCACAGTTGCTCTGCTCTTATTACATGAGGTCCTTAGTTACTGAAAATAAAATGGCTTGCTAGTTAGCTACTAGTCTCAGTCTTCTCACTGCTCACTGGCTATATAGATTTGAGTATTTAATAATCAGCATCTAATAACTGTACTTTGAATTGCTCTCCTGTGTTCTCTTTGCAGTTACAATGCTTTAATCTTGTAAGTAAAGTGATTAGGTGCTTGGAGTAGTAGAGCCATGTATGAAGTATATAATGTATCTCTTCTCTGGAGTAATTAAAAGACTCTGGAGGGGTGTAAAACACAATGTAAAGAATATCTGTCACACAGGTACAGGGAATAACTTAAGTGAATTTTGGGTGCATGTTGAGGATGATCTCTTCTACTGTATTTCAGCGTGTGCCACTTCAGTCTAATGTATCATCTTCCTCCTGGATGACATGTGTAGCTGTGCAGTAAATGGGGCCTGAACAATTGAGTGACTCATTTTGTATATATGGAATGCATGTTTCAGAATGGCTGAGGGGTGCTTCTACCTGAGAGGAGAAAAGAAGCAGTCATTTCTTCATGGATGCATTGTTTGGCTTCAGCATTTGGGAATTTTTGACATTATTGAGAGTATTTTGGGCTATACTAGCCAAAAACAGAGCTTCAGTTGCCAAGCAAAGACAGCCCCAATTATAGCTAGGATGGAAAACTCATATTCTAATAAACGTAATTCTGTAATGTTTAAAGATGTGGGGATGGCTTTTTCCTCCCAAAGTCAGGGCATCAGCCTTTGCAGTGCCCTTAAGAAAAGAGGGAATAATTAATGTGTATTTAGTTGGTTATGTTAGGGATGGGTAGAAGATGCTCAAAAGCACTGTCCTAGTGGTTTTTTTAAGTTTTCCAGACAGTAAGGTATCACAAAGTCCCCCTATTTCCTGGTTGCTGAAACTTAACATGGAGGAATATAGTAGTATGGGGGAAGGACAATAGCTAAAACCAGGAGAGAGAGGAACTGATGGAGAAAATGGAGAGAGCACAAAGTAGCAATCTGTACAGTACTCTTGAAGCATTGTCCACTTCGGTTTTTTTAACTCAAGTTCTAAGGGGAAGTCTTCTCTTACAAAATTATAGAACACTGACCCTTTTTTGCTACTAATAACTGAGAATTTCTTCATGATAGAAACAAATACTGTGGGTACTTTGTGACTTATTTCATCTGTACACTATATAATGAAAATTTGTATTGAAAAGTCAGAAATTCTAGCAAGTTGTCAGAAGACTAAATTTAAGAAGTGGAAAAATTTGTTTCAGTAGCTTGTTCCTTTCAGTTTTTTCTTTTTCTGAAATCTTTTGCCTTCACTGTTGTCATTTTGGCTACTTAAAACAAAGGAAGTGGTAGGATAAAAAATTGATTCATTCTTACAGACAAATGCCATGTGATTGTCTGTTTTGTTGTATTTAAAATATTAGAATTATAGTTTTGAGCTATATTTTCATGTCTAATGTAATTACTAGTAGATTAGACAAAGAGGCAGTGACTTGAGAAAAATGGGCTGTTTATGAATTGGAGAAACTGTTTTAGTTTTGTGTTAGCTAGGATAATGTTTTTAAACAACTTTTGTGTTCAATGATACTTAGTCGTGATAGTAGCAGTAGACAGCAAAAAAACGTGTGGAACAT